AGATTCTTAACCCATGTTTTTAGCAGCAAAAATGGTGATTTTAAAATGCTGTTTAGAATTTTCCTTCTCAAGTATTTTGCATTGTCATAATAAAAAGACAAGTCCATGTTATCTTCAGCTGCTCATATAGCCACTTCTAAAGACTAATACACCTGATTCTCAGAATTAAATCATGGCATATGTGTTACTACATCTGACCTGGTAATTTAATGACAGAACTATCTAAATGAAAATAGCCATAATAATTTACTGTTTCAGCTTTTTTTTTAAGAGACATGGTCTCACTCTATTGGCCAGACTGGAGTGCAGTGGCCTCATCATAGCTCACTGCAGCCTCAAACTCCTCAGATTAAGCAATCCTCTTGCCTCAGCCTCCCGAGTAGCTATACTACAAGCACATTCCACCCATGCCCATGTAATTTTTTTATTTTTTGTAGAGACAGTCTCGCTATATCGCTCAGGCTAGTCTTGAATGACTGGCCTTAAGTGGTTCTCTGGCCTTGGCCTCCCAAAGAGCTGGGATTGTAGTCATAAGCTACCAAGCCTGGCCTCAGCTTTTTTTTTTTTTTTTAACTAGAATGCACTACTGTACAATAGGTGTACTGACAATGAAATCAACAAAATAAGCTATTTGCCCTGAGGCCATAATGTAGATGTTTTTAAGTGAATTTACATATAAGACCAAAGGCTCTGAATCTCAAGTAATTTGATCAGTGTACACATTTTAAAGACACTGTTACACATTAATATAAATAATGCTGGGCCGAGTGTGGTAGCTCATGCCTGTAATCCCAGCACTTTGGGAGGCAGATCACCTGAGGTCGGGAGTTCAAGACCAGCCTGGCCAACCTGGTGAAACCCCATCTCTACTAAGAATACAAAAATTAGCTGGACGCGGTGGCATGTGCCTATAATCCCAGCTACTCTGGAGGCTGAGGCAGGAGAATCACTTGAACCCAGGAAGCAGAGGTTGCAGTGAGCCAAGATCACACCACTGCACTCTAGCCTGGGCGACAGAGCAAGACTCTGTCTCAAAAAAAAAAAAAAAAAAAAAAGAAAGAAAGAAAAGAAAAGGGCTGTATTACATCAAGAAAAGGGTTTCTGGAAACTCTGGGAGCCCAAACTTTTTAAACTTAGTAGCAGATTTAAACCACTACCATTTCTCCATCATAAGTGAGGCACTCCTGGAAAACACGGTCTAAGAAGACATTGGTCATGGTAGCTGTTCCATAGCGTGAGAGTTCTTCTTTACTGAGCATGCCATTGTGATCTTTATCAAGATTCAAGTACTGGCCTTGGAAAGAAAAATAATAAAGACACTTATGACCACAATACAATTTTAATCAGAAGAATAGACTAACAAAAAGTTCTTTTTCTTGGTTAATATTTTGATTTTCAAACTATTCATGTTACGGTTCGGGTAGGAGCCTATGTATAATACTATCAGCTACCTTTGCAATCTTGATCAGAACAATCCTTGGGCTAGAAACAGCCAAAGAAAACCCATCATGAATGCCATAGTCTAGGATGTTTCACTTACATCACTGTTTTCAGTTTGCAGTCTTTTTAAACATTCCTAGGTTTCTAAATTAAATGGAGGTAAGAGGCGAACAAAAAGCACTGAAATGCCAGCACTTGAAAGTAGAGATAAGAATGCCAAAAGGGGCACTTTGGGAGGCCGAGGTGGGTAGATCAGAGGTCAGGAGTTCCAGAGCAGCCTGGCCAACAGTGAAACACCATCTCTATTTAAAAAAAAAAAAAAGCCGGGTATGGTAGGAAGCCTGTAATCCCAGCTACTTGGGAGGCTGAAGCAAGGAGAATCGCTTGAACCTGGGAGGTGGAGGTTGCAGTGAGCCAAGATCATGCCACTGGACTCCAGCCTGGGTAACAGTGTGAGACTCCATCTCCAAAAAAAAAAAAAAAGCCAAAGGAGTCAAAAGATCACCCAACAAGATAATGTAGAATAGCTCCATCAGTAGATCCTGGGAACAGCATTTTATCAACAAAGCATGACAACAGCTAATGTTCATAATGGTGCTCCTGAGTCAACAAGGATCAAATTACATTCTATTCTATTGAAAAGAAACTGTATAACTTAAAAAGGGTTCTGCTGGATGCAGTGGCTCATGCCTATAATCCCAACACTTTGGGAGGCCAGGACAGGTAGATTGCTTGAGCCCAGGAGTTTGAAACCAGCCTGGGCAACACAGTGAGATCCCATCTCTAAAAAAAATTTAAAAAATCAGCCAGGCATGGCGCCTGTAGTCCCAGTACTGGGGTCGGTGGGGTGGGGTGGGGGCACTGAGGTTGGAGGATTGAGCCCAGGACTTCAAGGCTGCACTGAGCCATGATCGTGCCACTGCACTCCAGCCAGGGTGAGAGAGTGAGACCCTTTCTTCAAAAAGGTTGGGGAGAGTCCAAAAAGTTAAAACATTGGTATTTAAACAAGTAAATTTTGGTAATGTACAATACTAGGGCTTAAGGTAATTAAATGCTTTGATCTTAAGCTATATCAGTGTATGTATAAAACTGTCCTCTGAACACCAATTACCTGAAGAAGGGATAATTCAAATTTTAGCATTATGATAGGAACATACCATAAACTCTTAGGGCAGAAGGAGCAGAAAACCAGTTTGTTTCTTGACTCTCCTTGGACAGTTCCTCATCCCTTAGCTAATGGAACATAAAGACATAATTAGAAGATAGCAACTGTCAAGTGATACAATTAAGTAGTTTAAAAACATTTACCTCCAATAAATCATCTAGGAAGCTGCATGCTAAAATATCTTGAATTTTTATCTTTCCTTTAAGAACATAAAGAAACACAATTAATTTCATTTTAAGAGAAGAGCAACTCAATTAAAAAAATTTTTTTCTTCACAAAAGCAATCACACAATTGATATTTTAAAGCTTCTAGCTCTTATGTTCCAAAGTTCTTATTACATATTGTTACAAAGAGAGAAATCGCCGCCGGGCGCAGGAGCTCACGTCTGTAATTCCAGTACTTTGGGAAGCTGAGGCGGGTGGATCACCTGAGGTCAGGAGTTCGAGACCAGCCTGGCCAATATGGTGAAAGCCCATCTCTACTAAAAACACAAAAAATTAGCTGGGTGTGGTGGTGGGTGCCTGTAATCCCAGCTACTCTGGAGGCTGGGGCAGGAGAGTCACTTGAACCTAGGAGGCAGAGGTTGCAGTGAGCTGAGATCAAGCCATTGTACTCCAGCCTAGGGAACAAGAGCAAAACTTCATCCCTACCCCGCAAAAAAAAAAAAAAAAAAAATCTACAGGCAACATTTAATAACATCTCTACTTGTATACCTCAACTATATAAATCTAAGTGCCAAATTCTAAAATTATAGTGATGTCAGATTTTCAAAAAAGTTTGTGATTATAGATATAGTACTGCTAATACACGAACAGGGACACTGTCTCCATTTATTTTTGGTAGGTTCTGGACTAGAAAGCAATACACAGATGTGGTTTAAGAGCAGACAGATGAGAGTTTGTTTTCTTCTTCTTCTTTTTTTTTTTTAGACACAGTTTTGCTCTTGTTGCCCAGGCTAGAGTCCAGTGGTGTGATCTCTGCTCACTGCAACCTCCGCTTCCCGGGTTCAAGTGATTCTCCTGCCTCAGTCTCCTGAGTAGCTGGGACTACAGGCACCTGCCACCACACTCAGCTAATTTTTTGTATTTTTAGTAGAAACGGGGTTTCACTGTGTTGGCCAGGCTGGTCTCAAACTCTTGACCTCAGGTGATTCACCCATCTCAGCCTCCCAAAGTGCTGGGATAACAGGCGTGAGCCACTGCACCCAGCTACTGCTGCTTTTTTGTACAGAAGAGGTCTTGCTATCTTGCCAGGGCTGGTCTTGAACTCCTAGGCACAAGTGATTTCTCACATCAGCCTCCCAAAGCACTCGGGTTACAGGTGTGAGCCACCTCACCCAGCCCAGATGGGAGTTTAAATGCCACTTTTAAATATGTAACCTAGCTAAATCTCAGTTGCCTTACACATAAAATGTGGACAATAATGTACCTTCCTTATGGGGTTATGAGATGACAATGAATGAATCCATGTAAAATGCTTAGCATACTACATAACAGTCAAAACATCTGATATTATTTTGTAAAATTTGAAAGAAAGTGTATATGTGTGTACTTAGAGTAGAGGAGTTCAAAAAACACTGTCAGCTACCATATGCTGTGATTGGATTCATAACTGGATTTTTTTTTTTTTTGGACACAAGGTCTGGCTATGTTGCCCAGACTAGAGTGCAGTGGCACGATCTTGGCTCACTGCAACCTCTGCCTCCTGGATTCAAGTGATCCACCTCAGCAGCTTCCCAAGTAGCTGGGACTACAGGCGCGCGCGCACCACTATACCTGGCTAATCTTTGTAATTTTTTTTCTTTTTTTTTTTGAGATAGAGTTTCACTCTTGTTGCCCAGGCTGAAGTGCAACAGCGCGATCTCAGCTCACCACAACCTCTGCCTCCCGGGTTCAAGTGATTCTCCTGCCTCAGCCTCTCAAGTAGCTGGGATTACAGGCGTGAGCCACCGTGCCTGGCCAATTTTTTTTTTTTTTTTTGTAGAGACAAAGTTTCACCATGTTGCCCAGGCTGATCTTGAACTCCTGAGCTCAAGTGGTCCACCCAACTCAGCCTCCCAGAGTGCTGAGATTACAGATGTGAACCACTGTGCTGGGCCCACAGTTGGATTTTCAAGGACAGAAGGATAATCAAGCACTTTGATTTGGACTTCTCTGTCCTTTCCTCTGCTCCAGTTACATGTATTTAAGTCTGGGCAGGCTTGAACAGTTAATAAAACATACTGTTAATGAGGCCATATTTACCAATCCGATCCCCATAGAAAATGAGAAAAATATGCATCACTGGCTAAATGGCTCTCATATTTCCAAATACATGTTTTTCATCAAAAAGAGAACAATTCTGCAGTATATCACATAGCAGAGACAGCAAATCATATGCGAGTAACTGACTTCCTAGAACGGGAAGGAGGCATTTATGACTCATTACCCAGTTCATACTTCTTCACTGTTAGGTGACATCCCCCCATCTGTCACACAGCAGATTATAGTCAGTGCAAGTAAATCATAAAAGATCTTCAGATAAACATAACCAAAGCATTGCTACTGTTTTTTGTACCTTTTTATCTCCTTGAAATTCACCAAATTTTTAATGGCAGTGACAGGAAAATAAATGACATTTTAAGAGTTTTCTGTAGTTATTGAGATTTAGATATAATAATATCTTCATGTAAGTTAGATAAGATTTTCTTTTACCTGTTCTTAAAGGATCTAAAAAGAAGAAGAACTTCCTAACTGCTGTACAAACATAAAAGGAGTAGAAAGATTTTTCCAGACCATCTAATTGTGGCAAAGTAGGGATAAGTTCCAATATGTAGTTTTCTAAATCCTGAAAATAAGACAAAATAAAGTGTTAAGTGTCCAATCTTGATTCTTCATTACATACTAGAATATAATTTCATTACTAAAAATTATTCAGCATTAACACTACATTGATAAAGAAATAAATTCATGACTATTTTAGTGGTAAAACTATTTTATATTAAATTTTGTTTCTCCTAATTTAAGTTTTAACATTTTTGAAAAGTAGTAAATTCTATATAGTTCCAAATTCAAAGGGAACAAAGATATTGATTAAAAAGCCTCTCACCTATTTCTTCTCCCCAGAGGTAACCTGTATTATCAACTTCTGATGTAATTTCCCAAAGGTAACAGATACAAATATGAACCAATACATATATATTTCTTTCCCTCTTTTTTTTTTTTTATTTTGAGACATAGTCTTGCTCTGTCGCCAGCCTGGAGTGCAGTGGTGCGATCTTGGCTTACTGCAACCTCTGCCTCCCAGGTTCAAGCGATTCTCCTTGCCTCCTCCTGAGTAGCTGGGACTACAGGCACGCACCACCATGCGCAGCCAATTTCTGTATTTTTAGTAGAGGCAGGGTTTCACAATGTTGGCTAGGATGGTCTTGATCTCTTGACCTCGAGATCCAGCCACCTCTGTCTCCCAAAGTGCTGTGACTACAGGCATGAGGCACCGCACCCGGCCTTTCCCTCTTTTTACACACAGGATGTATCAACATACCGTGAAGAGTGCTTTTGTCATTCAGTAATGTATTTTACAGTCATTCCATCTTGACTCTCAAATAGCTATATATTATATCATTGTATGGATGTGCCATATTTAACTAGGCCTCTATTGGGACATTTAGTTTTTTCCTAATATTTTGCTACATGAAAAGTAATACCATAAGGGCTAAGCTAATTATTCATTCATAGATATTGTGGAAGAATATAAAATACAATTTCTGTAAGTGGACCTGCTGGGTTGTGGCATATGCACATGTAGAAATTTGGTAAGACACTGGGAAACTTCCCATCTCCCCATAAATGCCATGTGAATTTTATACTCCCACCAGCAATGTGAAGGCTCTTTCTACAGTTCTGAATTCTGCACACAGGTGTCCCAGGAGCACCACGGTTAATGTACAGGGGTGCATCAGGGTATTTTAAAATTTTGAGCGAAACAGCAACATTTGTCAGATACTGCGGACAGATATTGAAATAAGCTAGAACCATGTGCTCAAGGTAGTTCACATTTTCAATACTGAATCTCAATTCATTCCTTTTTTTTGAGGCAGGGTCTCACTCTGTCACACAGGCTGCTGGAGTACAGTAGCATGATCTTGGCTGACTGAAACCTCTACCTCCCAGGCTCAAGTGATCCTCCCACCTCAGCCTCCTGAATAGCTGGGACCGCAGAGATGCACCACCACACCCAGTTAATTTTTTGTATTTTTGGTAGAGATGGGGATTCACCATGTTGCCCAGGCTGGTCTCAAACTCCTGAGCTCAAGCTATCTGCCCACCTTGGCCTCCCAGCGTTGGAATTACAGTTGTGAGCCACCGTGCCTGGTGATTTAAATTTTTTAAATCATCCAGCCCAAAATGTCATGAATATATTCCTCTTTTTTATTTGAGATGGACTCTTGCTCTGTCGCCCAGACCGGAGTGCAGTGGCGAAATCTCGGCTTACTGCAACCTCCACCTCCTGGGTTCAAGTGATTTTCCTGCCTCAGCCTCTTCAGTAGCTGGGACTACAATCCTGTGCCACCATGCCTGGCTAATTTTTTGTATTTTTTTGTTCGTTTGTTTGAGATGGAGTCTCGCTCTGTTGCCCAGGCTGGAGTGCAGTGGCGTGATCTTGGCTCACTGCAAGCTCCGCCTCCCGGGTTCACGCCATTCTCCTGCCTCAGCCTCCTGAGTAGCTGGGACTACAGGCGCCTGCCACCACGCCCGGCTAGTTTTTTGTATTTTTAGTAGAGACGGGGTTTCACCATGTTATCCAGGATGGTCTCGATCTCCTGACCTTATGATCTGCCAGCCTTGGCCTCCAAAAGTGCTGGGATTACAGGCGTGAGCCACCACGTCCAGCCAAATATATTCCTTTTAATGACATAAATCTTTGCAAAGCTAGGTTTTGATGGTTCCTGTGGTAAAGGACCACAGAAAAATTAGTGAACAGGAATGAGGAGGACAAGTGTCCAGTCTAATTCCCAGGTTTAAGTAGTTGTACACATTCCATTAATAACTGTACTTAAGAATGAAACAAAAATATCTTCTTTCAACTTAAGTGTATTATTTTTTCAAGTGGCTAATAAGCTTAATACTCATTAAATTGTTTGGAATTAACTGGCTAGTACGTGAAACTTCTAGGGATTTCTTTTGACTCAGAAGCACTGTGAAAGAATTACTCAAACGCTAAAAGTGTCAATTCAAACTTTTTGATCTTTGCTAATTTGATAGGTGAAAAATGGCAACTTAGTGTAGATTTATCTGGCATTTCTCTTATGTGAAGTTAGTTGTTTCTTATGATTAAGAAGTATTTGAATTTTACTTTTTATACATTATCTATATCCTTTGTGCAGTTTTCTATTGGGTTAATGGCTTCTTGATTTCTGGGCGCTTTTTATATATTAGGGTAATTGGCTATTTGTGATTGTTTCAGATATTTCCCCCAGTTTGTTGTTTTCTTTTTACTTTAACATGGGCTTTGCCCTATAGATCTTCTCAAAATTTAGCTGAATTTATTGTTTTCTAGACTTCTGGGTTTTGTCATACGTAGAAAGGCTTTCCCTATTACAGGATTACATATTTAAAAGCCTCCCATGGTTTCTTTCTCTCTCTTTTTTTGAGACAGAGTCTCAGTCCAGTCCAGGCTGGAGTGCAGTGGCACAGTCTCAGCTCACTGAAACCTCCACCTCTTGAGTTCAAGCAATTCTTGTGTCTCAGCCTGACTAGCTGGGATTATAGGCACGCACCACCACGCCTGGCTAATTTTTGTATTTTTAATAGAGAGGGGGTTTCATCATGTTGGCCGAGCTGGTCTTGAACTCCTGACCTCAAGCTATCCGCCCGCCTTGGCCTCCCAAAGTTGCTGGGATTACAGGCATGAGCCACTGAGCCTCGCCATACTTTGAGTTCCTTACATCCTCCATACGGCATCAAGAATGATCTTTTAAAATGTAAATCATATCCTGACAGACTCAGCTTAAAACTTCTGATGGTTTCCCATTAGCTTCAAAGTAAATCCAAAGTCCTTACTGTGGCCTAAAAGGCCCTACATGTGGCCCCTGCCTACTTGTCCAACTTCATTTCCGTTATTGTAATCCTTGTTCTAGCCACACTGGCTTCCTTATGTTCCTAGAACAGGTCCAGGCTTAATTTTGCCTTGGAGACACTGTATTTGCCGTTTCCTCTATACTATGTCTTCATAAGGCTGGCTTCTTTCTCATACTTCATGGCTAAAACTTAATCCCTATCTCAAAAAGATGCTCCTTCCAGCCTACCTGAAATTGTCCACCAATCCCAGTCATCTTCCTGCCTAGTTTACTGTTTTCTTTTTCTTTTCCTTTCTTTTTTTGAGACAGAGTCTCGCTCTGTTGCCCAGGCTGGAGAGAAGTGGCACAATCTCGGCTCACTGCAAGCTCCGCCTCCCGGGTTCACATCATTCTCCTGCCTCAGCCTACTGTGTAGCTGGGACTACAGGCGCCCGCCACCACGCTCAGCTTATTTTTGTATTTTTAGTAGAGTCGGGGTTTCACCGTGTTAGCCAGGATGGTCTCGATCTCCTGACCTCATGATCCACCCCCCTTGGCCTCCCAAAGTGCTGGGATTACAGGTGTGAGCCACCGCACCCAGCCTACTGTTTTATTTTCTACATATAACTTGTTGCTATTTGATTTTATCTGCTTATAATTTAGTGTCTGTCTTCCCACTCTGTTAGAAAAAATAGGTCTAAGAGGGAACAAAAATTGTACTGTATCCCTGGAAAGATTTTAAAGTATAATATTTAGTATGAGCTAACAGATTCCATCTACAGAAATTTGGGCCAAAAAAAAAAAAAAAAGAAAAAAAGAAATCTGGGCAAAACAGATTGTAACAAAGTAAAATGTGAGCCCTACAAGTTTAGAATAATACCTGCCCCCAAATAAATGTTTACTAACTGCTTAATAAGATTTAATAAGTGAATAACACTTTGTATACTCTACTGAGGTTATAAATGTTGGTCTGGAAGCCACTGTCTTTCAAATTAGTAAGACACAAAGCCTGGGTTTCAAAAGGCAATGGGCCAAGAATGGAAGAAATACTTTGAGAGAAGTGTTTTCTTTCATTGAGAGAAGGGGAAAATTATTCCTTTTTAGAAACAACTACAGAAGTACACTGTTTCTTTTCTCTCCCTTTTGCCCATCTCTCTTTCAATCTTTGTTTCCATACATGGAAAGAGGCAAGACAAGCAATAACAGGGGACCGTTTTTATAAATCAATATTGCTGTTTCTATAAATCAAGTGAACTGCTAACAAGAATTCTCAGAGCTAGGGAAGTATTGCAGTTTGGGACCTGACCTCTAAACAAGTACCAACAGGTGGCTAATTATGTCTTCCTTGCTAGAAAGAGATGGCCAGAAGCAAGAGCCTTTTATTGTCAAGTTGGTCTGAACCTTAAAGAGAATTGTAGTGTACCCCTGGAAAGGTTTTACAGTATAACTATTCAGAATGAGCTAATAGATTCTATCTACAGAAATCTAGACAAAACAGAATGCAACAAATTATAGCAGGAACCATACAAACTGTAACAAGAAATTTACATTTAACTCATATCTGAATAATTATTTGATTAATTAACTTAGTTTATATTCATGCCCAACTCCCTTCCCCTCTCCCCTATAACCTTAAAAAAAGCACTGTATATTTGGGAAAAAAGCCTGAGGTGAAAAATAAGTCCATATAATTTAGATACCCGTATTTAGAAGAAGCATAGCCATTTGGGCCATGAAGTTATAATTCTCTGTTGATAACTTGGCCTAATTATAGCAGTGCCTAATAGGAAACAAGCAGCCTCTTGGTAACTGACCTAACAACCTTAAACCCAGAGGTGGGAATACAGTCACATTCATTTTCTCTCTCATATTTTCTTTTTTCTTTTTCTTTTGAGACATAGTCTTGCTCTGTTGCCCAGGCTGGAGTGCAGTGGCATGATCTCAGCTTACTGCAACTGCCTCCTGGGTTCAAGTGATTCTCTTGCCTGAGCCACTCTAGTAGCTGGGATTACAGGCATCTGCTACCATGCTCAGCTAATGTTTTTGTATTTTTAATGATGGGGTTTCACCATGTTGGCCAGGCTGGTCTCCAAGTCCTGACATCAAGTGATCCACTCACCTTGGCCTCCCAAAGTACTGGGATTACAGGTGTGAGCTACCGTGTCTGGCTTCTCTTATATTTTCTTAAAAAAAAAAAAAAAAGGTGTGGGGGAATTCTTGGCCCTTTAAAACATAGTGATACACTGATATCATTCATGAATAATCAAGTTTTTCAGTGATTTTTAAATGTTAAAATGCTACATTATTTTTATTTTCCCCTTTAAAAGGCTTTTTTATTTTTTTGAGATGGAGTCTGCTTTTGTCGTCCAGGCTCAAGTGCAACAGCCCGATCTAGGCTCACTGCAACCTCCGCCTCCTGTGTTCAAGCGATTCTCTTGCCTCAGCCTCCCGAGTAGCTGGGATTACAGGCGGCCACCACCATGCCTGGCTAATTTTTGTATTTTTAGTAGAGACGGAATTTCTCCATGTTGGTCCGGTTGGTCTCAAACTCCTGACCTCATGATCTGCCTGCCTCAGCCTCCCTAAGTGCTGGGATTATAGGCGTGACCCACCATGCCCAGCCAAAAGGCCTTTTTTTATTTTTAAAGTTTGAAGAAAAAGAATCTAAAAAGGAATTTGTATAGTCAATATACATTGAACACTTGTTTAGTAACACATGTCATTTATTTTTTTTAAAAAAAAAAAAAAAGAAAAAACCAAACCCCAAAACAGAAACATCCTGTGTCTCAACAAAAACTATATGGAATCAACACCACTGAGGTCTGTGGAAAGAAAAAGAAAAATCTGTTCCCTTTGCTTTGCTGGAAGCTGGAAGGTGCTAGGCCCCTGTGTAGTAGTGCATAGAATTCGAGCTGCTCTCCTCTATTGAGCACACAGTATACTATGTCTCTATGTGAATATGGACAGTAAGCATTTACCAACCTCTCCTTGTCTACTGTCTTTTGTTTAGAAAAAGAAAACAAATTTTACAAAATGGGGTTATAGAAGGTCAGCAAAAGGTAGGTTTGAAACGTTTGGATAGTTTAAAGTGAGCATTTTGACAAAGTTGCTTTTCCTTTGGCATGTTTAATTGTGATTTTTAAGGGACATCCTTGCATGACATTTTAAAAATAAATTCTCTCTTTTTTTTTTTTTGAGACAGGGTCTCCCTCTGTTGCCCAGGCTGGAGTGCAGTGGTGCAATCTTGGCTCACTGCAACCTCCGCCTCCTAGGTTCAAACGATTCTCCCACCTCAGCCTCCTGAGTAGCTGGGATTCCAGGCGTACGCCACCACAGCCCAGCAAATATTTCTATTTTTAGTAGAGACGGGATTTCACCATATTAGTCAGGCTGGTCTCAAACTCCTGACCTCAGGTGATCCGCCCACGTCGGCCTCCCAAAATGCTGGGAGTACAGGCATTGGGAGTACAGGTATGAGCCACTGCACCCGGCCAATATATATATATATTTTTTTGAGGCAGAGTTTTGCTCTTGTTGCCCAGGCTGGAGTGCAATGGAGCTATTTTGGTTCACAGCAACCTCCACCTCCTGGGTTCAAGTGATTCTCCTGCCTCAGCGTCCCGAGTAGCTGGAATGCTACCACAGGTGGCTAATTTTGTATTTTTAGTAGAGACAGGGTTTCTCCATGTTGGTCAGGCTGGTCTCGAACTCCCAACCTCAGGTGATCCGCCCGCCTCGGCCTCCCAAAGTGCTGGGATTACAGGTGTGAACCACCACACCCAGCATAAATGCTCTCTTAATGATGACTTTAACCCTGCCACTCCATGGGAGAATCAGTAGAATCTGTAGGATCTTATTTGGAATTGACATTCTCTATTGTAATTTTGTTTATTTTTAAATTTGTTTTTTGTTTCACTGAAAAGATGATGTTCAATTTTAAAAGTTGAAAGTGTACAAGTTGCTTTGTTACGGTAAAACTAAATATGTACACACAAACACATACAAACAGAAATAAAACAAAGCATTATATGAATAGCCTGTAATCCCAACACCCAGTGATAACTACAGTTTACATTCTGATGTCTATAAGAGTTAATATAATGTCTATAAGGTTAATACTTACAGATTCCCGAAGGTACCCCTGCCCAGCGACATCATATAAACTGAGTCCTATTCTTGTTTGATGAAGCCAAACTGACAATAAATAAGAAAATGAAATGTAATTCTTAAGATTTATCCTTTAGATATCAAAAAGGAGATAAAGAGCTAGATTTGAGACGAGCTAATCTAGTAACTCTAAAAACATTTCTTCTCGCCACAAAATTGCTTGAAACAAAAAACCATAGAATGGCAGAGTTCAACAATTCTATCATGACTAAAGCTATAATAAAACTGACACCTTGAAGATACTGTTCTTTACCAATTAAACTTGGTGTTCCACCAAACAGGGACAGCTAGTATAATGTTATGCCTTCATTGAAGCTGCTTTTATTTCTGAGGTTAATTACAGCAACCAATTATTAAAGATTGTATACAGTAGGCTTTCACAGATTATTATAGCACTTGTAGGAATCATAAGTCCAAGCTGTTTAATAGATGCTCCTTGAAACTGATATCGCAGTTGTGGGTTTGAAACTATCCTTTCAGTCAACTCAACTTCTAATATCTTGGTAAAATAAAATTATCAGTAAATTGAAATTATTTCAAATCACCATACATTAAAATCCTTGGTTCAGCTCTTAATATTTCTAGTCTACTATTATCTTTAAGATACATGAAGGTTTAAAAACTTTTTGTTTTTTTATGATAACCCAAGTTCATGTAACACATCTTGGTCAAAAGATAAGAAGTTCTACTTCAAACTTACAGTGATTTCACATGGAAGAAATACTTATAAAAGCACAGACCAAAAACCTACTTGCTTCCCACATAAGGAGTTCAAGCACAGTAAAAATGAATCACCTTTTCTCATGACATAATTAAAGAACTGCATGATGGAAATTCTTCCATATGAATCTGTATGAAGGAGTTTAGCAAAGACTTTTGCTGTGAAAAATTGCCTAAGAAAAGAAAATAAAGATTTAAATGATCTGCCAACATAAGAGAAAATGCCTTCTACATAAATTAGAAAATGGCATAAATTCATACAATTAAAAAATGAAAGAACAATAGAGACTGCTTATAATTCAAAAACTTAAAGTATTAAGCCCTACTTTGTTTGTTTTTTTGGTTTTTTTTTAAAGAAACAGATTTGGCCGGGTGCGGTGGCTCTTGCCCGTAATCCCAGCACTTTGGGAGGCCAAGGTGGGAGGATCACGAGTCAAGAGATTGAGACCATCTTGGCCAACATGGTGAAACCCCGTCTCTAGTAAAAATACAAAAAGTATTTGTATTCAGTATTTATATTGTATTATACTGTATTTATAATTATAATTTTATTATAATTATAGTATTTATAAGTATAATATAATTATTAATAATAATATATTATTCTTACTTGCACTTGGGAGGCTGAGGCAGGAGAATCACTTGAACCCGGGAGGCGGAGGTTGTAGTAAGCCGAGATTGCGCCACTCCACTGCAGCCTGGCGACAGAGCAAGACTCCATCTCCTGTCCTCAAGTGATCCACCTGTATTGGCCTCCCAAAGCACTAGAATACAAATGTGAGGCATCATGCCTAGCCTAAGTCATAAATGTTTGCATTCTTTTTTTTTTTAATTAAAAGTTTTATTTTGCAGAGATGGGCATGTGAGCCACAGTGCCTGGCCTTGCATTTTTTTGTTTGCTTTTGTCTGTCTTAAGGCTGAAAGTGTCATAAACTATATTCTTTTTTTTTTTGATGGAATTATTTAATAACTTCATACCAATGTGATTTTTTGACTGTAAATAATTTTATTAAATTTCATTAGTAACTTAAATTGACTCAAATGTCATACCATTTACTTCAATTAATATTTGAGGATTTATTTTTTTTAAAGGCAGGGTCTTGCTCTGTCACCCAGGCTGGAGTGCAATGGCTTAATCACAGCTCATCCTCCCGAGCTCAAGCAATTCTCCCACCTCAGCCTCCTGAGTAGCTACAGGTGTACACCCCCACACCCACATAATATTTTTATTTTTAGTAGAGACAAGATCTCCCTAAGTTGCCCAGGCTGGTCTCAAACACTCCAGCTCAAGCAGTCCTCCCACCTCAGTCTCCAAAACTGCTGGGATTACAGGTGTGAGCCAGTGTGCCTAGCCAATATTTGAGGCATTTAAAATGCTTAACATAACATATTCTTTTGTTAATTATATTATTCTTACTTGCACTTTGCTCCAGCCTTTTCACCAACCTTCAAAAAGTTTTCATAATTGATCATCGCTTCCTCTCCAATCATAGGTGGTGTCTGGTGTTTGTCCAGCAAAAACCATAAGTTCTTAAGAGAATTGTGGAAGTGAAGATGTTATAAGTTAAAAACAAGATTTAAAAATGTAGTTAAATGCGTGCTTTCCACTAAAATGATAGTTTGTTAGCAGAGTCAATATTAAGATGAATCTCATGCCCTATTGTCTTTTTGATTACTAACAATAAAAATAACATGTATTGAGTGCCTACTAAGCTTTTGATATACACTTCCTCTTTAGTCCACATAACTCTATGATACAGTTAGCTATCCCTACTTTAGAGATGATAATCCAAGCACAGAGATGTTAAGTCCATTGCCTAAAGTCGTATAGCAGGGCTGGGATTTGAACCTCTGTAGTCTGACCCTACAGCAGTGGTTCTGAACCTTGGCTGCACAGTATAATCACCTAGAGCCTTAAACAACAATAACAAACAACACTATTTTTGGGGTATATGACCCATGCAAACTCAGCAGCTGTTTCTGGTGGGAACTGCTGCTTCAGAGCCTATGCAGTACCACTCTGTAGTATGGACTCCATTAGGCACTAAGAAATCTTACATGATTTAAGTAGTACAAATGGGAAATGGTTAACATCTAAAGCAACTTTTTGCTTAGTTCTTACCTGTAATTCTTCATTATCTAACAGTTCTCTGCTTTTTCTTTGTAGAAAGACAGCTCTTGATTCCTCTCTTAATTTCTGTAGTAACACTTCATCTTCAGCAGGCAGCTGAAAATACAACATAAATTTCTACATGTAAATTTTAGACTACTGGATCCTGTAAAATGTATGTGGTCTCCTAAAATAACTGTATGCCACAACCTCAAATTATTTCTTGTATCTCACCTTAATTGTGCTTAACATTTGTTTAACAAAAACTGATCCACAGAGAATCAGTGATCAGCAAGGCTGGATCTCTGCCCTGAAAAAGCTATTCTAAAAGCTAGTCTAGTCCAAGTTTCATTTTATTTCCTTAAAGCACTGTGTTTCCATTGTCACCTTAGGATGATATAGAATTGGCTGGGTGCGGTGGCTTCCTTAGAATGATACAGAATTGTCTGGGTGCGGTGGCTTCCTTAGAATGATACAGAATTGGCTGGGGGCGGTGGCTCACACACCTGTAATCCCAACTGTTTGGGAGGCAGAGGCAGGTGGATCACGAGGTCAAGAGGTCGAGACCATCCTGGCCCCGCCTCTACTAAAAACACAAAAATTAGCTGGGCATGGTGGCATGTACCTGTAGTCCCAGCTACTCAGGAGGCTGAGGCAGGAGAATTGCTTAAACCCAGGAGGCAGAGGTTACAGTGAGCTGAGATTGTGACACTGCACTCCAGCCTGGTGACAGAGTGAGACACTGTCTCAAAAAAAAAAAAAAAAAAAAAAGATATAGAATTAAATGAGGATTAACTGAAGATTGACAATTTCAAAACCACCTTTGCAAAATTATAACAGTGAGAAAATGATGACAGTGAAAGAGACCTGACCTAACCAACTCCATCTTGTTTTTAACCTCCAATCTGCCCTTGGTCATTCCTGGGCATGGGCCAAGATATTAATAAATTTGGGAGAAATTTAGTTTATGATTTAAATGATAATAGCTCATCCCCAAACTAAACTGCCTTTGTAAAACTAATGAAAGGCCACCACGTCAGGAGGATGAGAAAGACCAGAATTCTGCTAAGATGGAGGCCAGTTAAATGATTAGCAGTCATTATTCCAGAGGTCACAAAAATCTGCAACATCCTCAATTACTCCTGTAAGTAACATCACTATTGTAGTACACAGGACCAGCCTTTTGAGATGTCTTCTCAGGCTTTTGCACTTCTAACTACCCAGTGGCCCCTCTTGGACCAGCCACTCCTCTGTGGCCCCAACCCAGAAGCAGACTCGGCACGCAAGGACCAGGACTGTTTTTCTATATCCGTGTGATTGCATCCTCAACCAATCAGTAGCACCCATTCCCTAGCCCTCTGCCTACCAAACTATCCTTGAAAAACCCTAGCCTCCAACTTTTCAAGAAGGCTGATTTGAGGAATAATAAAACTCCTATCTTCCATTTAGCTGGCTCCATGTATATTAAATTCTTTCTCTCTTGCAATTCCCATCTTGATAAATTGGCTCTATCTGGGTAGCAGGCAAGAAGAACCTGTTGGGTGGTTCTCACCTGTAATTCTTCTTGTCCAGCAAAAACCATTTATTCTTCTTGTCCAGTTTTAGGAAAGCATGCCTGTTGAGATTGGATCACCTTCGTTCTTGGAGATGGTCAAGGCAGTGCCTATTATGTTGGCCTCCCAGGCAAGAGGGTTTGTCAACTGGGGTGATTTCCATGAGCAGAGCTTTAGAATGACTCATTCCAACCTGACTTAGAACAATCTACTTCATTTCTTCTTTTTTTAATTAATAATAAAGGCAGGGTCTTGCTATGTTGCCCAGGATGGTCTTGAGATCCTGGGCTCAAGCAATCCTCCCACCTTGGCCTCCCAAAGTGCTAGGATTACAGGCATGAGCCACCACACCCAGTCAGAACAATTTACTTTAAAGAGCTCTTCTTCCTCTTCTACATCTTAGCCCCATTAAATGTACCTCAGTAAACCTTAACGTCAAAACTCAGGGTTATGGTTTTTACCTTTCATTTCCAGGAACTAAGATGCCATCCCTCCCATCAGAAGGAACAGAGTTAAAGAAGTACAAACCAAAAATAAAATTCTAAGGCTCCCAACAATCTGAATGGTCTTCCTCCTCAGTCAGGGCCCTTAAAATTTAACCTGAGAGACCGTTTCAGGGCATGATGGGAAGTGAGGGTCAAACATGCCTCATTCTACCTCTCTGGCATTAACATCAACACAGACTTTAAGTCTAATAAGAAACATTTTACGACCTATTCTCTCTGAAGCCTGCTAGCTAAAAGCTTCATCTGCATGATAAAACCTTGGTCGCCATAGCCTCTTAACTTAACCCAGACATTTCTTTCTGTTTGATCCCTGGTCTTTAGAGAAACTCAACCAAGTGTCAACCAGCAAATGTTTGAATTTACCTGTAGCCTGGAAACCCCGCTTCAAATTGTCCCACCTTTCTGGACCAAACCAATGTATTTCTCAAATGTATTTGATTGATGTCTCATGCCTCCCTAAAACATGTGAAACCAAACTGCACCCAAACCACCTTTGGCACATGTTCTCAGGATCTCTTGAAGGCTATGTCACAGGCTATGGTCACTCATATTTGGCTCAGAATAAATCTCTTCAAATATGTTAGAGTTCGACTCTTCATCAACAGAAGAAACATTAGGAGGTGGGGATGGGGCTGCAGTTGGGGCTGACTGAGATTGTGTTCTAGTGACTGTAAAGGTAAACTGAGGCTGGAGCCTAACCAGGAATGAAGACACAAGGCAAATGGCAGTGAGAATAGCCTTTATTAGGACTCGCGGGCGAGGTTCCTCGGTCCAAAGGTGCGGGCCGAGGAAGTCGCGCTGAGGGAGGAGGGTAGGGGCTTTTTATAGCCTGAGAGGTAGGGGAGCTGGTTGTACAAACAGGGCCTGGGGAGTCTTGAAACTACTAGGAGAGGAGTCGAGTAAGGGTCATGAGGAAGGGGTCTTTGGAAACTGTTTAACTGAAACTGCTGTTCACAAACTTGTGAAATGCAGGTGAGCTGCAGGTCATGGGGGGGTGTGGTTGCCCAATCAGAACTCTGATGCATGTAAGTCTGTGGGTGTGTACAAGGGTGAAGGGAGTCTTTAACAAAAGGCCTGCTACGCCGGGTAACACCGCCATGTTGGGTCTAACAGTGACTAGTTAACCAGCTAATCAGCCAAGGAAAGAAATGGTGACTCAAGATAATACGTGTTTTCTCTGAAGCAGTGGGGACCACGGAGAGGAAGAAGAAAGAAGGGAAAGAACTTTTTTACAAATCCATAGCTGCAGACAGGAAACCATCTAAGATCTAGAGGTGGCCCAAGAGAGAAGTGACACGAAGACAGGGAAAAAAGGAGATTCCCTCAGAAACCAGAAAAAGAAGGCGAAGGTTTGGTCCTGGAAGTACAAGAAAGTTCAGTCCTGGCCTCAGGAATGGGATCACACCATTCCTATCCAAGAGCTGTTAGGAATGACACAGAGTAGGAAAGGGGGCTTGGGTCAGCTCACTCCCACTACGGCACTTTTTCATGCATTTCCACTCATCACAAAACCCATGCCATCACCTCACTGATACCACAATGTCTGAACCATGCCTTTTACTCAAAAGAATTCCAGTAACTAGCCTTAGGAGATAACCAGAGTTGTGGAGTGGGTGTCCTATCTAGGGAAGGAACGCTGAACAACTGATTTACAGCCTTGTTGCCTCTAGCCAGACAAGGTGGCCCACTGCTCAAGATAACCATAGCAACCAGATAATGCACACCTGCATACCCTACCTGATCTGCTTTGCCCAGCCCAGCCTGCATACCCCACCCTAATATCAATCCCTGATTTAAAAAAAAAAAAAAAAACCCTACCAGCTCTTTTCAGAGAGGCAGGTGCTCTCTCTCCCTTTTGCGTTGAGAACCCAAGAACTTGTGTTTGATAACAGTAAGATCTTATTTAAGAATCTAGGTTAAATGAGATAATACAAAAGGTTCTGTGTGGGAAAAAGAGAGATCAGACTGTTACTGTGTCTACGTAGAAAGAAGTAGACATAAGAGACTCCATTTTGTTCTGTACTAAGAAAAATTCTTCTGCCTTGAGATACTGTTAATCTGTAACCCTACCCCCAAACCTGCCCTTGCAGAGACATGTGCTGTGTCTACTCAAGGTTTAATGGATTTGGGGTTATGCAGGATGTGCTTTGTTAAGTGCCTAAAGGCAGTATACTTGTTAAAAGTCATCAGCATTCTCTAATCTCGGGAACACAAACACTGCAGAAAGCCGCAGGGACCTCTGCCTAGGAAAGCTATGTATTGTCCAAGGTTTCTCCCCATGTGATAGTCTGAAATATGGCCTTGTGGAAAGGGAAAGACCTGAAGGGTCTGTGCTGAGGAGGATTAGTAAAAGGTCTCCTGCCCGTCTCTGGGCAATGGAATGTCTCGGTGTAAAACCTGATTGTATGTTCTATTTACTGAGGTAGGAGAAAACCACCTTAGGGCTGGAGGTGGTACGTGCTAGTGGCAATGCTACTCTTAATGCCCTGAAAATGTTTATGGAGATGTTTGCATATGCACATCAAAGCACAGCACTTTTCCTTAAACTTATTCATGACACAGAGATCTTTATTCATATGTCTCCTTGCTGACCTTCTTCCTACTATGACCCTATGGTCCTGCCACTTCCCCTCTCCGAGATGGTGAAGATAATGATCAAAAAAATACTGAGGGAACTCAGAGGCCAGGGTGGCGCCCTGGGTCCTCTGTATGCTGAGCGCTGGTCCCCTGGGCCCACTTTCCTTTCTCTATACTTTGTCTCTGTGTCCTTCTTTTCTTAAGTCTCTCGTTCTACCTGATGAGGGAAACACCCACAGGTGTGGAGGGGCAGGCCACCCCTTCACTCTGCAGTGCTTAGACACTCAATAAATGTCAATTCCCTTCTCTCTCCCCTAGGTTATCAAAAATATTCAGTTATCTAGCTGCCCCTGTTTAAGAAAAGTGTGAAATGCAAAAAGCAGTAAAGGTATGTATGATGTAACCCCATTTTAAAAAATACACAGATACCCACAAAAATATGTAGAAGGATTCATATAAAATGTTCTGTTTACATTGTTGGGTGATGTTGTTATGGGAAGAGATCAACTTGTTTAGCCATATTTTTTTCCTTTTCTACAATAAATATTGTTTGGGTGAGGGAGAAAGGACAAGATGGAGGAAGGTGAACAAGAAGGCACAATCCATGTTGCTTCCGGGTTCTTCCTCACCAACTTTCCAGCGTGCGGGAAAATGCAGCCAGCGCCAGGGAAGATGTAGATCAACCGAGCATGCGCCAGGTGATGTCAATCCAAAGAGATCGAAACTTACCCGGCCACGCCTACGGAGACGCCCCTATCATGCCCTTATCCTGCCCACTGCCCTCCCCCTTCCAGTACCAATGCATAAAAGTCCGCTGCCGGCAGGAGCCGGTGTGAGTTCTTCGACCCCCGCATTCGTGGGCCAGAGAACCTCACCTGAGAGCACCGGCGCGACTTCCCTGGCCCCCCAACACCTGAGGACCAGAGAACCTCGCCCGAGAGTGTGCGCATATTTGCAATAAAAGACTGCCACTTTCTTATGTACTTTGGCCTCATGTTTAATTATTTAGCTCTATTAAATTAAATTAAATGAAACAAAACAAATATGGGCTAGCATTACTGGCATATGATTCTTAAAAGGTTGAGAAGTATATATAAATGTTCAGTGAAAAAAATTTGCACTTGAAGAAATATTTCAGTATCCGGATAACTCACTTATATAAATACCTTAACCTGTAAGAACACTACCTAAATAAATGTTTACTACATTTGCAAATAATGTTATAATTAATAGAGTTAGAAGGTAACAGGTTCAAGGGACATCCAGCTAAGATTCCAGTTAACTTGTATAGTGGTTACATTTTCCATAATACTAAATAGATATTTTTTGGTAGACCTCACTTTCAGGTATAAATAGCTTTCTTTTTTAAAAAAATAAATAAATAAAATAAAAAAAAAAGATGGGGTGGGCCTGGCATGGTGACTCATACCTGTAATCCCTGCACTTTGGGAGGCCGAGGCAGGTAGATCACCTGAGATCAGGAGTTTGAGACCAGCCTGGCCAACATGGCGAAACCCCGTCTCTACTAAAAATACAAAAACTAGCTGGGTGTGGTGGCACACACCTATAATCCGAGCTACTTGGGAGGGCTGAGGCAGGAGAATCGCCTGAACCTGGGAGGCAGAGGTTGCAGTGAGCTGAGATCAGGCTGTTGCACTCCAGCCTGGGCAACAGCGAAACTCTGTCTCAAAAAAAAAAAGATGGGGTGTGGGGTGGTCTCACTACGTTGCCCAGGCCGGTCTCAAACTCCTGAGCTTAAGAGATTCTCCCTTCCTCACCCTCTCAGAGTAGCTGGGACTACAGTTGAATGCCCCACCATACCCAGGTTGTAAACAGCTTTTTTTCTTTTTTCTTTTTTTTTTGAGATAGGCTCTTGCTCTGCTACCCAGGCTGGAATGCAGTGGCATGATCACAGCTCACTGCAGCCTCAACCTCCTGAGCTCAAGTGATCCTTCCACCTCAGCCTCCTGAGTAGCGGGGACTACAGGTGTCACCATCATGCCTGGCTAAGTTTTTTTGGAGAGACAAGATCTCACCAAGTTGCCCAGACTGGTTCTCAAACTCCTGGCCTCAAGTGATCCTCCTGATTTGATGGCCTCCCAAAGTGGTAGGGTTATAGGTGTGAGTCACTGCTCCTGGCCAACCTTTTTTTTTTTTGAGACAGGGTCTTTGCTCTATCACCCAGGCTGGAGTGCAGTGACCCTATCGTAAATAGCTTTTCTTAAGGTCTACTTTGTCTATATGTCCCTTCAAGCCATTTTCAGAGTTTGGCACAGGGAAAGAAATAGTCAAGTGAAATTCCTTTTTGTTTGTTTGTTTGAGATGGAGTCTTGCTCTGTCACCCAGGCTGGAGTGCAGTGGCGTGATCTCAGCTCACTGCAACCTCCACCTCTCAGGTTCAAGAGATTATCCTGCCTCAGCCTCCTGAGTAGTTGGGATCACAGGTGCACATCACCACTCCTGGCTAATTTTTGTATTTTCAGTAGAGACTGGGTTTCACCATATTGGTCAGGCTGGTCTCGAACTCCTTACCTTGTGATCCACCCACCTTGGCCTCTCAAAGTGCTGGGATTACAGGCATGAGCCACCATGCCTGGCCTCAAGTGAAATTCTTTAAGTTTTCCATTTTCAATCGATTTTTTGGTTTAGCCTTGAGCAAAATTTTAAAACTTTGTAACAAAGCGTTGTATACCTGATAACACAATCCAATAGAATACTTACTACTAATATCTATAATAAAAATTAGAAAGAAAAAGCCGACAGTTTAACAACTTTGTGTTTACATACCCACTTAAATCTAAACTTGGGGTTTTATTGGGCTCAAAATGTTTTATAATAGTGATAAGATTACAATAAAATAATAAATATACAAAATTTAAAATATAATCCTCTATTCTTAAAACATAAAATTCTGGTCCTATTTTTAAAATTACTTTTTTCTGGGGGTGGGAGGACAGGGTCTAACTCTGTTGCCCAGGCTGGAGTGCAGTGACACAATCACGGCTCACTGCTGCCTCGACCTCCTGGGCTCAAGTGATCCTCCTGCTTCAGCCTCCTGAGAAGCTAGGACTATAGGCATGCATCACCATGTCCAGCTATTTAAAAAAAAATTTTTTTTTAGAGATGGGGGCTTGCTATGTTGCTCTGGCTGGTCTCAAATTCCCAGACTCAAGCAATCCTCCCGCCTCAGCCTCCCAAAGTGTTGGGATTATAGGTATGAGCCATCTTGCCTTGCCAAAAATTGTATTTCATTTTTAAACTCTGCAGGACATTTGATTAGACACTACTTACCCTATAATAAAACCGGGGAATGGTCTTATAGAATTCATTTGTGTTTTTTCTACCTCCTTTCCATTCGGAGTAATATTTTGTAAATAAATCCATTTCTTCATCTTTTAATTCTTGTTCACTTTTTTTTTCTGGTAACAAAACAGATTAAGGGGAGCACTTTTAAAATCAAGCAGTACTTTTACTCAGGTCATCCTATATATTAATAATTTAATTAAAATAGTTGCAGTGCCAAAAAGGCCTTCACAATTGTGCTTAGACACTAAGCATATTAACTTTTCTGAAATACCAAGAATCACTATCTTCTACTGAAGCAGCCTCCTCTACATCTTCAACCATTTCTCAGCATGCTCCCTCTACTTCTGTTTATTGCTAAAGCTAGTCTCTTCCTCAAGTCATTACCTCTCCTACAGGACTCTATAGAGTGCTAATTCATTCAATGAAAAGAATTTACTGAGCACCTACTATGTACAGAGAGCACTGTAGTAGACATGGAATGAGGGGTGAGCAAGACAGCGCCAGTCCCTGACCTCATGGAGTTTCAGCTTCACAATCACTGTTTCTCTACCTAATGTAGAGAAAACAAACAAAAAAACATCCTCTGTCTGAAGCTCAAAACTCAGGGCTCTATTACCCTGCAACTCGCCTGCTATTGGCACGTGGCTGTCTCATTCAGCCAATTCCTCCCCACTTATTTGTGGACTACAGTGACTGGTATACAGTGTTCTTCACAAGGTCCTGCAATCATTTAGGACAAATAAACATTTATGTGGGTGACCATGGGTCCTGCAACTCTAAAAACTTTCACCTCCAGTTCATTCTGCCATTTGGTTCTACAGCAAGATCAGATTTTACTTGTACCTTTTCTGAAATCTTAAGCTCAAATATACTCTCAGATCATCCTTACTGGTAATTCAAAACCTCACTGCCATAGCATTTCCACTTCAGCCTCACTGAGCTCTTGAATTCTGTGATCTGTTTTCTCAAAAGTTATTTTACTCTTTCTGGTCTCATTTCCTTCCCAACAAGCCTGTAATTGTTTCCTTGAATTTCTTTTATGACTGTATTTCTGCTGCATCTGTTAACTGTTAATTTTTTTTTTTTTTTTTTGGAGACGGAGCTTCGCTCTTGTTGCCCAGGCTGGAGTGCAATGGCACAATCTTGGCCACTGCAACCTCCGCCTCCCAGGTTCAAGTGATTCTCCTGCCTCAGCCTCCTGAGTAGCTGGGATTACAGGCATGCGCCACCACGCCTGGCTAATTTTGTATTTTTAGTAGAGATGGGGTTTCTCCATGTTGGTTAGGCTGGTCTGGATCTCCCAACCGCAGGTGATCTGCCCGCCTCAGCCTCCCAAAGTGCTGGGATTACAGGCATGAGCCACTGTGCCTGGCCTATTATGTTAATTTTTAACTTTAGACCAAACCTGTAAGTTAATTTCTTTACTATGGCTCAGTGCTGTTGGAGAAAACTGCAAAATTTTTCAAGTAAAATCAAGACTGACAACTGACCGCTGAAGTTAACAATATGGTGGTCAATGATGATTCTTGAGAAGCAGGAATCTGAGACGAGTACAGATTTAACCAATAACTGTTTTAACAAATATTGCTATAAGGGGAACAGAAAAATGAGGAATGGTTAGAGGTGGAAATTAAGAAAGTTGAAGATGGGAGAAATACCAGCATGTTTATATGCTGATGGGAATGATTAAAGAAAAACTGATGATGCAGGAGAAGGGACAACTGCCAAGAGTACATCCTGCAGCAGGCAAAAATGGAATCTACTACAAAGGATAGGATCTAGTACACTGATGAAGGAACCAGACTTAAGCAGGTGCTGTACAACCTATATAATTTGCTTATTATTTTATCATTTCTCTCCACACTAAAGTGTAAGTTCTACAAAGACAGGGATTTTTGTGTGTTCTAAGCTACAATGGTACTTGGCACGAAACAGGCATGGAGTAAGTATCTGCTAAAAGAATGTAGTGTGTTCAAGAGTTAAGGGGTCAAAAAAGCACATAAAGTACAGGTACCTTCTTTTGTTTTTGAGACTGAGTCATACTCTGTCACCTAGGCTGGAGGGCAGTGGCACGATCTTGGCTCACTGCAACCTCCACCTCTTGGGTTCAAGTGATTCTCCTGCCTAAGCCTCCTGAGTAGCTGGGATTACAGACACTCGCCACAACGCTGGGCTAAATTTTGAATTTTTAGGAGAGACAGCGTTTCACCACGTTGGCCAGGCTGGTCTCGATCTCCTGACCTCAGGTGATCCACCCACTTCAGCCTCCCAAAGTGCTGGCATTACAGGCGTAAGCCACTGTGCCCAGCCAAGTACAGGTAACTTCTTTGAGAAGTTTTCCTATAAAGAGTGCAGAGAAATGCAGCAGAAGCTGGAAAGGAATATGGGATCAAATGACTCTTTTTTTTTTTTTTGAGATGGAGTCTCATTCTGTCGCCCAGGCTGGAGTGCAGTGGCATAATCTCAGTTTACTGCAACCTCTGCCTCCCGGGTTCAAGCGATTCTCCTGCTTCAGCCTCCCAAGTAGCTGGGATTACAGGTGTGAACCACTGTGCTCAGCTACTTTTTGTAGTTTTAGTAGAGACAGGGTTTCACCATGTTGGCCAGGCTGGTCTTAAACTCTGGACCTCAAGTGATCCACCTACCTCGGCCTCCCAAAGTGTTGGGATTACAGGCGTGAGCCACAGTGCCCAGCCCAAATGACTTTTTTTAAGACAGGGTCTGACTCTTGTCACCCAGGCTGCAGTATAGTGTCATGATCATAGCTCACTGCAGCCCCAAACTCCTAGATTGAAACAAACCCTCCTTCCTCAGCCTCTAGAGTAGCTAGGACTACAGGGGTGCACAACCACCAGGGCTAATTTTTTTACTTTCTATTTTTGTAGAAATGGTGTTTCACTATGTTGCCCAGGCCAGTCTCAAACTCCTGGCCTCAAGCGATCTTCCCACCTTGGCCTTCCAAAGTGCTGGGAGTGAGCCACCCGGCCTCCCAACAACACTCCCCCCACCCACCCACCTTTTAAAAAGATGGGTGATATTAATAGCACACTTGTGCTGTGAAAATGATCCAGCAGAAGGAAAATCTGACGATGTATGAAAGGATGAGGCTGGAAGGAAGTCAGTGAATACAGGAGAAAGAATGCAATCTAGTGGTGGAGTGGAGGACCTCTTAAATAGGAACATGGACAGTTCATCATTTTAACAGTGAAGCCAGAGTGTATGGGCACCTGTGGGGTTGTGGGGCTGAAAGAAACGTTAAGGGGGACAGGTGAGGTTCTCCTTTGACTGCTTTTTTTTGAGACTGAGTCTCACTCAGTCGCCCTGGCTGAAGGGCAGTGGTGCAATCTCGGCTCACTGCAAGCTCCGCTTCCCGGGTTCAAGCGATTCTTCGGCCTCAACCTGTGGAATAGCTGAGACTATAGGCGCCCGCCACCACGACCGGCTAATTTTTTTTGTATTTTTAGTAGAGACGGGGTTTCCCCGTGTTAGCCAGGATGGTCTCGATCTGCTGACCTCGTGATCCGCCCGCCTCAGCTTCCCAAAGTGCTGGGATTACAGGCCTGAGCCACCGCGCCCGGCCAACTGATTCTCCTTTCTTAATGAGATATATATTAAAAAAACAAGTTCATCAGCTTAAAGTAAGAAGTGGGTAGGACAGACTGCAGGTGTAAGAGATGAGAAGAATGGACTGTAAAAGAGTGTTGCCTGGGCGCTCACGTCTGTAATAGCAACACTTTGGAAGGTGGAGGTAGGAAGACTGCCTGAGGCCAGGAATTCCAGGCAAGCCCTATTAACATAGCAAGACCTCACCGCTACTAAAAATAAAAAATTAGCGGATGTGGTGGCGTGTGCCTGTACTTCCAGCTGCTTAGGAGGCTGAGGTGGGAGGATCCTTTGAGCCCAGGAAATCGAGGTTGCAGCGAGACGTCACTGTGCTGCTGCACTCCAGCCTGGGCAACAGAGGGAGAGCCTGAATTAAAAAAAAAAAAAAAATAGTGTATCTAGGGAAACACAGATTGGCAGTTTGGGAGATGAAAATTGAATGTAGGAGAATGAATGTCCAGGAAAACACGGTAGACATGACCGAAACACCTACTTTAGCTTAGTGGACATGTACTAAAAGTGAGATAACTCGGCGGGGCGCGGCAGCTCACGACTGTAATTCCAGCACTTTGGGAGGTCGAGGTGGGTGGATCACGAGGTCAGGAGTTTGAAACCAGCCTGACCAATATGGTGAAACCCCGTCTCTACTAGAAATTAACCCGCCGTGGAGGCGCGCGCTTGTAGTTCCAGCTACTCGAGGCTGAGGAAGAAGAATCGCTTGAACCCGGGAGGCGGAGGCTGCAGTGACCTGAGATGCTGCCACCGCATTCCAGCCAGCCTGGACGACAGAGCAAGAGACTCCGTCTCAAAAAAAAAAAAAAAAAAAAAAAAGTGAGACAAGGTTCTGTTTTTCTCCAGCCACTTTCAACAGCCCTTAGTGCGGGTGTGGAATAGGAAAGCTAGATTTAACGAGGTTAGTTAATAAGCAATGTGAAGGAGAAAAATAAAAGGAAAAATGGATTATGAAATATAAAATGGATTAGGAGGGAAGCAAAAAGCGTGACAGTAAAAAGGCGGTAGGACAATTACAGGTCCTGGTGGGGTTGAGGCGTTGTTGGATCCGGGGTTCTAAGTTATTCTTCACAAGTTTAGATTAAGACCATGGAAGTCAGTGACTAAGGCTAAGTTTTTCGTTCCCCCAGACTCCGTCCCAGGAAAGTTTGGGTCAACCCTATCGGGATCCCTAAAGCACATTCCACTCCGCCTCCTTTGTCGGGAGGTTTCACAGAAGCGGAAAGTGCGGCTCCCCCTTGCTCCTCCTCCCCACCTCCCTCCTACCTCTAGGAGTTTAGGGCCGGGCCATCCCAACGGGCGGCCCCTCCCAAAACTCACTGTTTGGACGGGTGTTGGGCGTCGCTAAGCGCCGACGAAGAACTTCTTTCCAGTCCATGGCCGACTCTCGCGCAGCAGCTTCTGCATTTGCTGTTTCCTACCTGCTCCACCCCTACCAACTCAGGCGTCAGCACCGCCAGGCCCCGTAAAGGTTAAGAAGGCCGCTCAACCACCATCTTGAACAAGGGCGGAAGTCTTGGCTAAAGAGGCAAAAACAATTACTGTCACTCCCGCGGAGAATACCGCTACCACGCTGACTGGGGGAAAGCTATGAAAGAGATGGAAAATGGTTCTCCTTCAGGAGGCGTCCCAAGCTCACCAAGCCGGATTTTAAAAGGGAGGATAAGCCCGCGTTTTCCTTTATCGTGCGCCTTTGGCGCGTGCGCACCACGTGACTCAGAAGTTAATTGGTTCCGGCTTGAGGGAAGCGCTTTCTTTCACAATTTCTTTTCATTGTTCATTGCGGATATCTGTAAGCCCTCCAGGTCCCCTGAATGTAGTAGACGCTTCCGCAGCCGTCTCTTACTCCTTTTGCCACAAAATGCTTCAAAATTGCCTTTTTTCCTCGCCGCCAGGCCAGGCGGAACGCCTAAGTCCGGGTCAGTCTCGTCAGTCGGCCGGGGCTGGCGCGGTGCATAGTGGGCACTGTAGTTCCCGCCGCGTTTATGGCCGCGTTAAGCCTGAGTGCCGCGTTGAGTTGTTGAATGAAGTGAACTTCGTTTGTCGCGATAGGTACACAGTCTAGGCGGCGCCCTTCCTGGATCTCTCTTCCTTTCCCGAGTCGTTGGCGCACCTGACTCGCCACCTCCTCCCTCCGCATCCCTCCATCGGAGGAGCTTTGCGGTCTTTGGAGAGTTATGCAGGGTGAGGGCCCCTAGACTTTGGCTTTCGCCGCTGTTGCTGGTGGGCTGGAGTTGGAGGCTCCTGGATACGGTTTTGGCTTTATACCCCCTTTCCAGCAAGCTTCCTGTGGGAATCTGTTCCTTTTCAGGACAACTGTGATCCACGTGAGTAAAACTGGGCGTTCCTTCTTGTGCTTTTTCCTCAGGTTCATGAACTGGAATGTAAGAGGCACCAGAGGATTCCTGCTCTGTCCCCTGGTTTGCGGCTTGCGACGTTGGACATCCCCGGATTGTTGTTTAATAGAGAAAACTCACCTGCCTTCTTGCTATTAAGTAACCCCAAAAGCCGAACTTTGATTTGTCTGTAAGGAAGAAACACAAATCTTCTTTTAAAAAGCTGCACTTCGACTCTCCACTGCCGACCACCAATCCCTTTAATTTTGCTATAGAAGAGGGTTTTTTTCCAACATCTCTCTCACTATCTGGTGCTGATCTCACTGCGTAATGACTTTCTATTTGTTTGGTATTCGAAGCTTTCCTAAGCTTTGGAAGAGCAACCCATACCTTGGGCTAGGCCCAGGGCACTCTTATGTCTCTCTCTTTCTTTCAGACAGCTGTGGCATCAGGAGCCAACAGAGGTTGTTTTCTCTTAAAACAATGTCTCCACAGAATACCAAAGCAACGAATCTGATTGCCAAGGCCAGACATCTCAGGAAAGGGGAGGGCAGTAATAAGCAAGTTTCTTCTGTTCCTCATTTTTTTTCAGCTGGAGCAGCTAAGAAGAGATCACAGATGAATCCTCAAAGTAAAGATCATGCCTTGCCATCTGTGAGGAACACTATTCAACTCCCAACACAACCTTTGAATTCAGAGGAGTGGGATAAACTTAAGGCGGATTTCAAAGGAAAGACCAGTTTTGAAAGATTCATCATTTCACAGATGGCTCACTCTCATAGCTCTGTAGATGTGGCTAAATCTCTGCTGGCATGGGTAGCAGCAAAAAATGATGGCATCGTAAGTTATGATTTACTGGTCAGGTATTTGTATCTCTGTGTCTTTCATATGCAGACATCTGAAGTTATTGATGTCTTTGAAATTATGAAAACCAGATATAAGACTCTAGAACCTGGAGGTTACACTCTTCTCATCCAGGGACTGATCCATTCAGACAGATGGAGAGAATCATTGTTGCTGTTAGAGGACATCAAAAAAGTTATCACTCCTTCTAAAAAGAACTATAATGACTGTATCCAGGGAGCTCTCCTTCATCAAGATATAAACACAGCTTGGAATTTGTATCAGGAATTGCTAGGTCATGATATTGTTCCTATGTTGGAAACTTTAAAAGCTTTCTTTGATTTTGGAAAAGACATAAAGGATGATAATTATTCAAATAAACTACTAGATATTCTTTCATATCTAAGAAATAATCAGCTGTATCCAGGGGAATCATTTGCACACAGTATAAAAACATGGTTTGAGAGGTAATTTTGATTTTTTTATATGTATGTTTTTATTCTTTAATTTTTTTTTTTTTTTTGAGGCAGGGTCTTGCTCTGTTGCCCAGACTGGAGTGCAGTGGTGTGTTCATAGCTCCCTGTAATCTCAAACTCCTGGCCTCAAGTGATCCTCTCGCTTCAGTCTCTTGAGTATCTAAAACTACAGGCATGTGCCACCATACCTGGCTAATTATTTTTAACTTAATAACTTTAAACCTCAAAGTAGCCACTCTTTTTTGTTGTTAGTTGCTGAGAATCATTCTATTCTGATTATACTTTTTTCCATCTCTTAGTAAGGTTTATTTTCTCTTTAAGACAAAATTTTCTCTCTTTAAAAAAAGTAGCAGCATACATAATTTGTGCTAATCTTTACCCATCACATAAAAGTGAAATTTTATAGCACTTTTATGTATTTTTTTCCTTTTAGAAGGATCATTAATTTTGTTTTCTTAGGCATCTAGTATGATGTGAGTACTTAATACTACTTATGGCCAGTGTTCATAGCAAGAAAAGAATATAGCATTTGACTGGAACTGTCTCGGGCCATATTAGTATTTTCAGAAGTTCCTCTGAAAATGTGATTATGTGCTTATATTTATTCTGTCTACTCACTGTATGTGCATCTATTTTCGTTTTGTTACATGTATCTTTTTTTTTTTTTTTTTTTTGAAGACGGAGTTTTGCTGTTGTCAGGCTGGAGTGCAGTGGCGCGATCTTGGCTCACTGCAACCTCCGCCTCCTGGGTTCAGGCAGTTCTGCCTCACCCTCCCAAGTAGCTGGGATTACAGGCATGTGCCACCACGCCCAGCTAATTTTGTATTTTCTTTTTAGTAGAGATGGAGTTTCTCCATGTTGGTCAGGCTGGTCTCGAACTACCTCAGGTGGTCCGCCCGCCTCGGCCTCCCAAAGTGCTGGGATTACAGGCGTGAGCCACCGCACCTAGCCACAGCTTACATTTCAATAGTGAGATTATAGATGACAGATAATGTAAATAAGCCATATCATCCAAGTTGATGAACTATAGAGAGTAGACAGAATAGGCTGGGCGGATCACCTGAAGTAGTTTTTCTCTTGTCTTTTTTTTCCTTTTTTTTTTTGAGACGGAGTCTCGCTCTGTCGCCCAGGCTGGAGTGCAGTGGCCAGATCTCAGCTCACTGCAAGCTCCGCCTCCCGGGTTTATGCCATTCGCCTGCCTCAGCCTCCCGAGTAGCTGGGACTACAGGCGCCCGCCAACTCACCTGGCTAGTTTTTTTTGTATTTTTTAGTAGAGATGGGGTTTCACCGTGTTAGCCAGGATGGTCTCGATCTCCTGACCTCGTGATCCGCCCGTCTCGGCCTCCCAAAGTGCTGGGATTACAGGCTTGAGCCACCGCGCCTGGCCTTGTCTTTTTTTTTCTATATCATGTTTACAGAGCTTTGAAGTAGTAATTATGCTTAATTATCTTACTGAATATCAAGGGAGGAGGAGCCCGGTTGTGAAAGTTTTTGAATACCAAGGAGTTTGAATTTTATTCTCTGATCAAGAATGCTGAATTTGGCCGGGAACTGTGGCTCATGCCTGTAATCTGAGCACTTTTAGAGACTGAGGTGGGAGGATAGTTTGAGGCCAGGAGTTTGAGACCAGCCTGGGCAACATGGCGAAACGCTGTCTCTACAGATAATACAAAATTTAGCCTGTCATGGCGGTGTGTGCCAGTAGTCCCAGCTACTTGGAGACTGAAGCAAGAGTATCACTTGAATCTAGGGAATCAAGGCTGCAGGGAGCCGTGATTGTGCCATGCACTCCAACCTGGGTGACAGAGCAAGACCTTGTCTCGAAAGAAAAAAAAAATGCTGGAATGGAGTTTTACAAAGGCAATTGCCAAGTGAGAAGAGTAGATAGGAGAGGGATTAAGATTGAAAACAGGGAGATCTGCGTGAATACAATTTTAGGTTTAGGTGAGAGATGATGAGAATTAAGAACTGAGGAAGGAGAGAAGGCAGTAGAATCAGAAGAACTGATGGTAATATGTGGAAGAGGAAGGAGGAGAGGATACGTTGACTGAACAAATACATCAATACACAGCTTTTGAATGCTTCCAAATAGGCTAGGCATTGCAAGTGTTTTATAAAATCTTTTATGACATTCTCAATTTAATTGGGAGTACAATACCACACAGTGAAGTAACAGTGGTAAGAGGTAAATTACTCTGAGCAGGAGCAATTTCTGGCAGCTTTATGGAGAAGGTAAGAGTTGAGTTTGGTATAGAGGTTATGCTACTAAGGTCAGCTGCTTTCTGTAGACTTGAAGATGAGAGTTAGTTGGTGGGAGGAGAACCATAGGGAAGAAGGAGATTCAGAACAGGGTACCAGTAGCTTCTTAACCTCATGCAGGATATCTGCTACTTTTTAAATTAAACCATTCTACAGAAGTATCTTGAACTTTTCGGAGTTCTTGCTTATGAGAGTTTCCAAATATCATGAATGTCTTTCATTTCAGTAGGAATCTAACCTCATGATTTGGTTTTGCAATCTTCATAGTGTTCCTGGAAAACAATGGAAAGGACAATTCACCACAGTCCAAAAAAGGTGAAGACCAATGTTTATGTTTAACTTGTTTGTTTTCAGTTTAGTAGGTTTTGTTGCTATTGATTGAAAAATATTTAAGAACATCTTAAGGATAGGATAATTACAAGTTTGTAATTAGAGTATCTGAGGAAAAAAACATACTTTGCATACAGAGACGTAGCAGTACCCAAAATGTTTTTCCAGTGCGTATTATGAGCCTATATGATGTCTTAGAGATGTTTTTCCCTAGAGGTTCCAGACCCAGTTGTGTTTTAGGATTTATTTATTTATTTATTTAATTCACCAATATGATATTTCACATAATAGGAATTACTTTAAAAATGTCATGCGAGCTGGGCACCATGGCTCACGCCTGTAATCCCAGCACTTTGGGAGGCTGAGGTAGGTGGATCATGAGGTCAGGAGATTTGAGACCATCCTGGTCAACATGTTGAAACCAAGTCTCTACTAAAAATACCAAAATTAGCTGGGTGTGGTGGTGTGCACCTGTAGTCCCAGCTACTTGGGAGACTGAGGCAGGAGAATTGCTTGAACCCAGGAGATGGAGGTTGCAGTGAGCCAAGATTGTGCCACTGCACTCCATCCTGGTGATAGAGCGAGACTCTGTCTCAAAAAAAAAAAAAAAAAGTCACCTGAGTCAGGCATGGTGGCTCATGCCTGTACCTGTAATCCCAGCACTTTGGGAGGCTGACTTGGCAGATTGCTCAAGTCCAGGAGTTCAAGACCATCCT